GTTCTTCAGTTATTAAACTGTCAGTTTTGGGAGGCGTTTTACTCCATAGGATACTTATGGATGGATTTGGGCGAGGTGAAACAGTTTAAGAGTACTGTATCTCTAGTACGATTGGCTGTTCAAATTGCATATCTTTATCTGATCCGAATCGAAATGGAGGAGTTTAACGATCCGACTCGGGATGGGTTTGCTTTAGAAATAGGGCTCTCCAGGAGATAGCCTCTGTTATCACAACCAACTCAGTCTCATTCCAGTTCTTACCTTTAGCCGCTCAAGTCACCCAAGATCCAGCTGCACTACTTTAGAAGATGAAACTTCTCCAATCTGTCTCCCTCGTTTCTGCGATGGCAACGTTAGTGAACGGTTTTTCGTTCTCTACAATTACTGGCGAATCTTCGCCGTCGAAAGGACTCATTGATGACACCGACCTGACACCCGATGAAGAGAGTCGCATCTACGGCGGATCTAATGCTGACATCAGCAAGTACTCCTACGTGGCAAAATTGATTCCTGGCGATGCGGAGGATGTATTGCTGTGTGGTGGCACGCTAATTGCCCCCCAGTATGTTCTCACGACTGTGTATTGCCTCGGGTGGTTCCCGCTTGACTTACACGTATCGCTTGGAAGTCAGAAGAGTAAACATAAAGGCTCTCCAAAGTCGGAGCGGATTCGTGCCGTCGAGATTTTCCGTCATCCGTCGTTCAACTCTACGTGGTACACGTATGACGTGGCGGTCATTAAACTCGAGAAGCCCTCGACTCATAAACCAGCACGTCTCACTGGTGCTGATGGATCGGACGCGAAGGCTGGCACAATCGCTACTGTCTTTGGGTGGGGGGAGATTAGCAAGGAAAAGAATGCTGAAGCTCTCCAATCTGTGGCTGCCAAAATTATCCCCGACGATGAGTGCAGCAAGTATGCCATTGACACCGATGTCACGTTGTGTGCTGGTACCGAACGTGGGAAAGGCTTTTGTGGCGGAGACTTCGGCGCCCCCCTTATTTCCAAAGGCGTGGTCGTGGGGATCGCATCCACTTTTCCTGGTGAGGCCAATGATTGTGGCGAACTACCTGGAATGTACACGCGTGTCTCCCACGTGCTTGACTACATCAACGATGTAGTGAATGGTGGCTCCACAGGTAATGTTACCGACTCGCCCCCGCTGAATGAATTTACCGCGGGAGGATCTCAGTAACCACGTTGAAAACACCTTAACAAGGCTAGAAGGCTAAATGAAAGGACGTTATGGGGAAATCACTCTTCTTTTCTTGGTTGTTCGCATGTTCTAGACGCTGCGCATTCTCTTCCATTCAACAGAAATCAAATACTTTCTATTGTATGTAATAAATGGAACAACCTCCATATGTCAAAGTGCAGTTTCTCCTGGCGTCTTGTATTTACTACTGCGACCTACTACAAGAATTCTTTAGCAGTGCCAAGGTCAAGATGACGAGGAAGTCAAGTTTTGGAGTGTCCTAGGCTTGTAGGGGCGGTGTAGTGGCTGGTTTGAGTCCAAGCCTTGTCCACTGCAC